TTTCCCTCATATTAAAGGCTGAATAATATTCCATTGCAAGTATGGACCGCATTTTGTTTTCCGTTCATCCATCAATAGACACTGTTTGCTTCCACCTTTCGGTAATTATGAATGATGCTGCTGTGAACATAGGTGTACAGATAGTTCTTTGAGTTCCTGTTTTTAATTCATCTGGGCATGTCCCCAGAAATGAAATTGTGGGTCATATGTTAATTCTATTATTAGTATTTTGAGGAACTGCCAAACATTCCCATAGAAGCTATGCCTTTTTTACAATGCACAAGGGCTTCAATTTCTCCACATCCTTGCCAACATGTTATTTCTGGTATGTGTGCGTGTGTGTGTATGTGTGTGTGTTTGAATAGCAGTCATCCTATTTAAAAATGGGTGTGAAGTGTATCTCATGGTGGTTTTGATTTGAATTTGCCTAATCAATAGTGATGTTGAACACCTTTTCTTTAGCTAGTTTTGCTCATTTTTTTAAAGATTTATTTTATTTATTTATGTATACAAGAACTGGGGTGTAGGCCAGAGGTACAGGGGTGAAAGGAGCCACCACCAGAGACAGAGTGAGTAGCAGAACAGGCAGATCCACTGAAATACACTGCTGAGGGGAGCAGAAATACAAGAGAGACAGGAGAGGTCTGCTGTGCGGTGTGGGTTAGCTGGGGGGAGACGATGGCTTTGAACTCAGGCAAACTCATGCCACAGAGGCTGGCAGTGATAGCTTGATAGCACTGAGATTTAACCCCTGCGCCACCAGGGAGGCCCTCTTTGCTCATTTTTAAAAGTGGGGTTTTTTTTGTCCTTGTCATTGCTACATTCACCTAAATACTTTTTGAGGCAAGATAATATAATGGAGAAAAGTGTTATTTTGATGCTAGGTATTATACTCTTCATTACTATCCCAATCTTTTAAAACCCTTGTTATGAATGTACCTGATCTGGGACACTCCAGGAAGCATTTGCTCATGTCAACTTCCATTGATTGGGAACTGTTTACATTTCCCAGCCCCAACCCCAGGAAATATCCCCACACATATCCACTGGTATGTTTTCTTTCCTTTCCTTTTTTTTTAAGATTTATTTATTTATGCATACAAGAGCTGGGGTGTAGGCCAGAGGTGCAGGGGTGAAAGGATTCACTAGAGACAGAGTGGGGAGCAGAACAGGCAAATTGACTGAAATACACCGTGAGGGGAGCAGCGGGTGAGACAGGAGAGGTCTGCTGCATCTTGTGGGTCACCTCCCTGGCCAGGGATGGAACTCCTGCTGCAGTTGTGGATTGCTTCATAATGATGATGCTTAACCCCTTGCACCACCAGGGAGGTCCCCTTTTCCTTTTTGTTATCAAAACCTCCAGCCTTATTCTCTACATGCTGGTTTAACATAAGCAAGGCAGAATTCTAGGCAATGTATATGTCCAAATCCTAGGAAGTGATTAAGAATTTATGCAGTGTCCATTTGGTGGTCATGAGAAATATTGCTTAAAAGTATGTAAACACATGAATAGAAAATAGCAAGATATAAGCTCGTATATACATGATGTTAACTCTTCATTTTTTCAAATATAGAAGCTTTTTAATACATAGGAAAAAGGACATTTAAATTTTGGCAGTTTACCACAATTAAATGCTTTCTTGGATAACCACAAATACAAAAAAGAAAAAAATCAAAAAAAGAAGTTAGAAAACCAAGTGACCACATGAAAAAAATACATAAAAAATTAACAGCTTTAAGTCCACTTCAAAATAGGGCAGTTTAAGAATCCATAAATGAATGGATATTTGTATTAACAATTAAAATATACTGCCAGAATTCAGTGAACTTGTTGACAGAAGAGTGATTTTCAACCACTTTAGGAGGGAAGATATGATCCTTACCAGCATCTATGAATTTCTCAGTGGCCAGGGAAAGAAAAACCATAATCTCTTTTTTTTTTAAGATTTATTTATTTACGCATACAAGAGGTGGGGGAAAGGCCAGAGATGCGGGGGCGGGGAGCAAAAGGATCCACCAGAGAGAGAGTGGGAAACAGAACAGGCAGATTAACCAAAGTACTGCTGAGAGGAGCAGCAGGCGAGATAGGAGAGGTCTGCCTGGCCATGTGGGTTTCTCTCTGGCTGGCCAGGGATCAAACTCATGCTGCAGAGGCTGCGGACAGCTTCACATCTTGGCGCTCAACTGCCTGCGCCACCAGGGGAGGCCCATATGCTTAAATATATTTAAAACACAATTTAATCAACAGTCCATTTTGTTAGCTTGATAATTAGCTAGGGCTTATTCTTCTATGGAGAATGCACAGGACATCCCCATCCCAATGCTTCCAGCTTTATGGGACAGTCTTTACTTCTCCCTAAAGATCTTAATCATAATTGAATCTTTTTATTTAAAAGTGCAAGGGGGGCCTCCCCGGTGGCGCAGCGGTTGAGCGCTGGGTTGCGAAGCTGCCCGCGGCCTCAGCGGCGCCGGTTCGATCCCCGGCTGCTCCCTGGCCACTGGAGGAGGGTCCCACATGGCGTGCAGACCTCTCCTGCCGCCCGCTGCTCCCCTCAGCAGTGTACTTCGGTCCTTCTGCCTGCTCTGCTCCCCACTCTGGCTCTGGTGAATTCTCTCACCCTCCCACGCTTCTGACTGTACCCAGTGCATGTATAAACAAAACAAACAAACAAATAAAATAAATAAAACATGCCTCTATAAAAAAAATAAAATAAAAAATAAAAGTTCAGGGGCTAGTGGGCCTCCCTCGTGGCCTAGGGGTTAAAGCACAGCACTTAACACTGATGCAGCCTCGATCCCTGGCCAGGGAGCTAACCCACATATGGCGCAGCAGACCACTCCTGTCTTGCCTGCTGCTCCCCTTAGCAGGGTATTTCAGTAAAAATTGCCCTGCTCTGCTCCCCACTCTGTCTCTGGTAAATCCTCTCACTCCCCACACCTTTGGCCTACACCCAGCTCTTCTACACAATAATAAATAAATAAATCTTTAAAAGATATCCAAGAACTAGTAAAATTATGCTATAAAAATGGATATTGATATTGGGAAATAGCAAAGTGAAAATAATTTACAAAATATTATTGGGACACAAAACTTTTGTCACTAAAATAACCCCCCAAGGTATGTCTGTAGACATACATGGATAGTTATAGCAAAATCACTGAAACTACCTATACTAAAATGTTAATGGTGGCTTTTTCTAAGGGCAATTTTCATCTTGCTGCTCTGTGATTTTCCTATGTATTTTTAAGTCTTTTGGGATTGTATTTGTTAATTGTGATTAGAATAAAAAGAAAGGCATGGTTCTCAATCTTTTAATTATAAGTGCAATAGACTATGGTACAGTATGTATTTCTGGAACAAGATATGAACAGAAAATCAAAGGAACAAGTACACTATTATGGAACTCCAGAACCAGCAAGAGACATCTGGGACTCGAGGTCTACGGGGGTGACACAGGGTTGCCCCACATTTATTAGATGAGGAACAAAGGAATGAGGAAAAAAGAAATACAGAGATCTGAGAAGAAAAGGTGCTAGCAGGTGCTGAGAGGTTACCAAGTTTTAATTTATTTTTTTGCTTTTTTTTCTTTTGGAAAATAAAAGATGTGTAGTCTCCCATTGTGGCAATAACAAATTGCCAGAAATGTAGTGGCCTGAAACAACACAAATGTTTTTCCCTTACAGTTCTAGAGGTCAGAAGCCTGAAAGTGGGTCTCATGAACTACAATCAAAGTATTAGCAGGTTTATATTTATTGTGGAGTCTCCAGGGGAAAATCTGTTCTTTCTTTTTCCAGATCTAGGGGTATCTAGGTTCCTTGACTCGTGTTGACTTCCCAACAGTGGCATCACTTGACTTTGCTTCCATTGTCACATCTTCCCTAATCCTTTTGCCTCCTTCATCAGGACTCTTGTGATTACATTGGGCTCACTGAATAATCCAGGATAATCTCCTCATCTTAAAACTTCTTAACTTAATCACATCCACTAAGGCCGTTTTGCTTTGTAAGGTAACATATGCACAAGTTCTGGACATTACCATGTTGGTATCTTTGTGTTGGGGGAGGGGGTGAGGGAGTGAAGAAAACCAATATGTAAAGTTCTGTTACCTACCAGGTGCAACACAAACAGAACCATATCTAATCCTTCAACAACCTGGGAATTATATGCCAGGATTTGCTTTTAAAAATGAATAATCTCAGCCTCCATACAATTTGGGATTCTGCCCAAGGTCAAGTTGCTGGGATGCCCACCCAGATCCTTGAACCCAAGCTCTAGCTAGCCTACCCCATGATCTTGCCCTTATTCCTCGCTCCCACTGACCTCTACTCCTGCCTTCCAGTCTGGGGGATTTCCCCAGCAACCGCTTCCAGCTGGGAAGTCCCCCAGCGCCTTGAACAGGCAGGCTTAAGCTGCTGCTTCCCAATTTGTCCTGTTCTCTTGATGACAATAGCCATAACCTGATCCTAAGGATCAAACTTAGTGACTGCCTCTCAGTCTTCTTTTAAGTCTTCTTTTTACTTGCCCTCCTTTATTCAAAAAGCACTTCTTTGAGGTTATCGTGCTGGGTGCCAGAGCAGCAGGGAAGATAAACCTAAGCTAAAGCTGTCAGGGCAGTCTAAGTGATACCTGCTGTACCAGACACATGGACTACAGCATTGTAAGAATCCACCACAGAGAGTTCCAAGTCCTGGGAACTTGGTATGCATCTTTGTCATTGACCCTGAAATCAAAACGCAGGGGAAAAGCAAAGACTTCTTTTCTTTTGAGCTCCCCGAGGGACCACATATTAATCTTTGTGTGCTCTATAAATAATTAAAAATTGGAAATATTTAAACCATAGGCACACAGAGAGGAGCAGTGTCTGAGACCCACAAGGGGTTAAAAGCCACACTGAAGGCATCCAAGCTTTCATTTTGTCTCTGTTGTACCTAGCAATTGATGACATAAATATTTCCCTTGTTTTCATTGGAAGAGGATTGCTTAACCCTCAGTTACTTAACTTACCGAGAAGACAGTCGAGCCTCGGTTCCTGAAGAATTAGCAGGGACCTGTCAGTATTTTGGTTAGAAGAATCCGACAGAGAAGGACTTTAGGGTGACTGATGATGCTCTCTCTCATCATTGTATTAATTGTGAAGTACAGCGATGCCCGTGAGTATCCCAGGTTCTCTTTACTCTAAACTCAGAAGCTGAGTGAAGGAAACTGTGGCATAATGAAGAAGTCAGGGGCAGAAAAGTTTATTTATTAAACCCAGGATTTGTGGGAGCAATAGATGGCCTGAAAGTAGTCTGGTTTATGTGTGTAGGATTTTGAAGGCACTCATCTTCTGAGGTGATGGAAGCCCTTCTGTAAAAAATATTTGGGTCACTTTCTCACTTTCCTTCTGAACATTGTTCCCTTTCTTTTCAGCTCATATCCTTTCTTTACTTTTGTTTCTCCTCTTTACCAGCCTACTAAAGGAGAGTGTGTAATCATGGGGATGTGATAGGTATTTCAGGGTTATTGAATAGTAGAACAGATCCATTTTTCAGGTTTATTTCCTGTTACAGAGGACACAAACCCCACCTGTAACAAAAGATCTGAGAAAGATAAAACCGTGGTTCTGGACTTGTTTACCGAGTGTAAGACATAGCAACTGAGTAGAAGGAGGAGTTTTTCATTGTGTAGGGGCCCATGGCACTGGAGAGACAGACATTTTCTGTTGCCCCAAATACATGAGAAAGCCCACAGGCTGGAAGCACCTGGCTTCTTTGGCTTAAGCACCTGCTCTCCCAGCTAGGGGCTGGCACTCCCAGGTAGGATGGCAGGTAGTGACTAGAACTCAGGCTAGGCCACCACCACAGGAAGTTACTCTGGCACATGACAGGAAGAAGCTCTTTCAAATCATCTGTGTATTCCACCAATGATTGTGATGACCTACTGTGTGGTGGGCACTTTTGGGGATATTACAGTCAACAAGACAGGCATAGTTCCTGCTTCTATAGATATTTAATCCAGAAAAGTTCCACCATTCAAGCCAGAAATGGAAAAGATTGGAGGTAGGAAAGAGAAAGATGATGGAAAGAGCAAGGAGGCGGGTGGTAAAGGGTGATATTTCTACAAGTTAAAAGCTTATATATTACCATTATTTGATCCTCAAAGAATTCTTTAACAATATGACCACAATCCTCCAACCATAATCTTTTATAAGGTGGTCTCACTAACCCTTGGGCTAAGAAAATATCCCCATTTCAAGATGAGGAAACCCAGCCTTGAAGATGTTGACTCAGCTCACATGATGAGCTGATTCCAACATAGACACGGGTCTTCCAGCTCAGTCCAGGGCTTCCCCACAATTTCACAAAAACTTTGAATGTAGACACTTAACACTTTGATGACTGGTAGGATCTGATAGAAAATAAGTCAGCTGTGAAATAGAGGAAAGATTCTTTTGTGCTAGTTATTCTCCTTTTGACTCCTAAAATCCCATCTTTCTCTGTCTCATCTTGTGCCTGCTATAGACCCCTCCACCCATTCTCTCTTGCAGACTGTTTTCTGTTTGGGCTCACCTAATGGGAGGTGCTGAAGGCAAAGAAATCAGGGAACAGGAAAGAGAGGTTGGGGTATTTCTTTCTTCCTCCTCCCCCTCTTTCTATAATGTCTCTGGTGGCAGCTGTGTCCTCTGCAATAAAGTTTTCCCTGAATAGCCCCTTCATCATGGTTCTAGTACCATCAGGTCTTGGTAATACTGTTCTACTTTTATCTCTGCAACCCTAGGGGTCATAACAGCTTCCCATGGCTGCTAGCTTCTGGGTGCCTCATCATCCCTCTTATTCCCTTAACCTTGTCCTTACCTCTGCAAGGAGACCCTTCATTAAGGTTTCTTTATGTGACTCATCTAAAGGGAATGCTGTTTCTTGCCAGGATACTGACTTTCTTGAACATGGAGGGATGTTGACAGAAATGGGTTTTGGGAAAAGACTTGGTCTGCTTGATGTTTGTGTCTAATGCCGACCCTAAGTAGGAACTTGTAGACTTGGAAACAGGAAGCAGGAGGAGATACCAGAGTGTTTGGGTTTATAACTCCAGGAAATGTCAAGATAACTCCAGTGTGTTGTTTTCATTGACTCTACAGCCTTTCAGTTGACTGTTCCTTCCTTTGTACTTCCATAGCTCCTGTTCACAGTTCTGTAGTTATCTATTTAGAAATACCTTTCCTTTAAGGATTGCCTCATTTTTCTCTTCTTTATTTTCCCAGCACTACTTAGTAACCAATGGGTACTTAATAAATGCTTTCTGAGGGAAATTATGTTCAGGGATAATGATCCTAAAAAGTTGAAATTATCTAACTGTGAGCCATGGAGAACATGGACAGCTATAACAACTACAAATTCACAACTGTGGTTTCCTGTTATTGCATAATTTGTATGAAAAAAAAAAAAAGGTGCTTCGTATGTTAGAACTCACCCTGTTCTTCACTTCAGCCTGTGTGAAACTGTGATCTGGTGATGTGACCTAGGACAAAGAAATGGTTGGTCTCTCTTGCATAGTCATATGTGGTCTGTGTGTTAAATCTTGAAATAACCAAGATCAACCTCTTGATATTACTCATAATTCCATGGATGTATCATTCTGCTATCTCAGTATGCTTCATGAATAATGGAACCTTTCACAGGCAAAGACTGATGGTGAATAAGTCCTCTAAATTGTCAACCAGGTTTATGTCAAAAGACACACTTGCAGATTATCTTATTAAAAGTGACCTTGAGTTCAAAGTGTTAACATAAGAAAAATATGGGCATTGGTTGTAGACTTTATGAGACTTCAGTCTGTTTCCATGGAGCTGTTGTCAGGTACATGTAGTAGAAATTCCTCAAGACAATGTTTCATTCCCCTAAGGCCCTCTTCTTCTTGGTTGACATTAAATCTATCTAAATCTGAAAAATTAAACTCATTGTGGATTTTCTTCTGATTAGTTGGAATCTTTCTATTTTCACTAAAATGCCTTGACCTCAATCTTTTTACCCTAGAGGATTGCCAGGAAACAGAGGGAGGAAGCCTAGGTTAACAATCAAACACATAACTCTTTAATGCTTGTTTTGTGAAATCCAAATTGAGATAGATGACAGAGGACATTCTTTCTGATGTCCAAATTTATATTTATTATGGAAAACCTTTCAAGAATATACATATCATATCATATTTTGTTATCAATTCAATGAATCATTGAACAAGAATAAAATTCATTAAATTGGAATTCTTCTGGGAAAAATTAGCCATATGGTCATTATTGTGTATAGAGAGTACTGAGAAAACCCCATCCGGGTGCATTTATTCATTACCCAGAGCTCTACATGGTCCTAGTGTGGTCTCCATGCTATTCCTCAAACATATGGAGCATCACACTCTCCTTATGGACTCAGGCATTCCCGTCTTGTTCTTCTACCATGGCTCACTTCCTCCCAGTATGCACGGCTTTTATCAAATGCTGCCAGGCCAGAGAGATCTTTCCTGGACTTTCTATCTAAAAGATCAGCCCTCTTTATACTCCTTTCACTGTTATATTTTTCTTCACAACACTTATCACCACCTGATCTTGAATTACATACTCATCTAGCCAGTCTCCCTTTTAGAAACTAGCATGGAGGGCTCCAACTTTGATGTGCTCCTATCCAATGCTTAGCAGCTAGGACTGGATCTACTGGAAATTCAGAAAAGAATAAAACACACAAACGGAGATGCTGGGAACCTTCCAAAAGATAGCCTTAAAAGAGTAGCTAAAAGGTCAGGCTGTCACTTTCAGCATTTTCAGGCCCCTCAGTAAGTTCCTGGAGTTAGGTGTTAGAATGCAGACTAATGGCTCTTACTTTCTGTAGAACTAGCCACATCACTATATAGTTTGAGAAGTGTCCAGAGATTCTCTTAACTAAAAATGTTACCGTCTACTCATTCCCATAATGCCTAACATTGAAAGCGTAGTTTCCAAGAATCACAATGATTTTGACTGTATTAAGGTATTGCGTTACTTGGGAGGGCCAAGAAGTAATTGGAAACATTGACCTGGTTATCCAATAAGGACCCATGTGACTTGTAGGAAGATCTGGAGCCTGGGCCCCAGGGACTAGGAAATCAGGACAGTGAGTCATCCTGACACAAGAGGGCAGGAGAGAGCAATGGTATCAGGGTGAGGAGCCTGGAAACAGCCAGGGTTGGGGAAGCGCTACACCATTAGTGCTAATTGGGTGGTCTAAAGCAGATGGGCATCCCAAAGAAGAACGCAGAGTATGATTCCTGGCTCCTCCACTTATGGGTTCTAAGGATGATCTTGGGCAATTTTCTTCATCTCTCTACATCTGTCAAAGGGTTACTATGAAGAGTAAGTGAAACTCATGCTTGTTAATGGCTTAGCATGGAACCTAACACATGGTATGTGTTCATGAAAAACTGCCCTTTTTATGGTGATTTAGGTGCTTCACAGGTCATTGAAGGTCCAACTTCATGGAAGGTTTGCCGCCTCCTCCATAGAGCATTTCCAGATCCTTGAATGAGAGCAGGATCTCTCCACTGAGCTGCTGGATTATTCCATTGGCACATCTTTTGTGTATTTACTGCCTGCTGCCATGTGTTATTGCTTTGTGTTTATTTATGCTATGCATGTTGGTTCTCCAATAAGACTAAGTTCCTGGAGGGAGGAGTTCCTGTAAGTTCTGTAAGTTCCTGGAGGAAGGAGATGGTGTCTGATTTGTTTTTCTCTTCCTGACATCTCACAATTCCTTGTATTGATATTTGGTCAATTCTCAATAAATATAAGTTATCTCCATTGATGATTAGTCTTCCGTGATTGGCTACCTGGATGAATACCTGAGGATACTTTATCAAGTGTCTTGTGAGCCAGTGATTGTCACAGGCTTTGGTAAAGATGTCCCAACTAGTTAATCTACAGGTTAAAGGGTACATAGTTTAAGACAATAAAGTGAGCACTGCATCTGGTCTGAGAGCCATTTGGTTGTGTTATTCAGACTTCCCAGCAATGCCCACCTGAGGTTATTGGGACAGGTCAGCAAGATCTTTGAGAAGCAGCTTAACTGTCCTGGTGAGAACACCAAATTCAAATAGTAGATTTCAGCTCTATCAGTGAGTGAAAGGAAACATTATTTTAGCGAGGAGAAAGAATCAGAAGATAAGATAAAATCCTATGAAATAGCCTTTTTGTCTCAAAAATGGTCAAATGTAGATCTTTCAAATGATTCTGCCTTCATTGTTATACCAGAAATCCAGTCATCTGGGCTATATATCCTGCAGGGTATAAATTATCACACGGTCTAATGTTTTATGAGGGTACCATGGCCTTTCCCCTGTCTCTTCTGTTCTGAGTTATTGACTTAACATCTGTCAGGCAACTCCCTGTCACAACTGATGTATTTTGGAAGTCCAACTATGTATGGAGCAAGCATGACTTGTACCTGTGGTTACAAGTTACCAGATGGGTAACCGGGCCGGGAGCAAACAAAGGGGACAGGGCTGTGATATCCTGGAGCAGAGCCACGCCACAGCTGCACACGGACTGGATGGGCACATGACCGGCAGATGGAGACCAGCCTTTAGGGACAGGCCAGCCTTTGAAGTCAGAGCTGGCTGGCGAGAACTCCTATTCCCCAACCGGGTTAGACAGAGATTGAGGTTGCAGAAAAGGACATTCCATTGTACTTGGACAGTATTGTCAACATATCCTATTTCTCTGTCTACTTCCTATAAACTCTGGATAATATTTTTGTGAAGTTTTATCTTTGTAAGAAAGGGAAATTATATGAATTGTAATATTGTGTTGGGAAATAGTGTTAGTGATACTTAGACTAGATCGTACCATTAAACAGTAAGTAATGCCCCAAGTTGTTAGTACATTTTTGTTTTGTTTTTTCTTATTAGCATCTACTAGTAAGGTAACCCCTGAAGTCATATAAGGAACCTCAAATTGCAAGGCACATTCTATACTAATCCAACTTAGTTTAATAACACAGACTCTGCTTAAATTCATTCTTCCTTCTCTCCCAGTCTCTGCCTGGAATTTGATTTCTGTGAGGCTTTTTCATACAAATAACTATCAAAGTAATTCCTACCTATTTCTTTTCCCCGTACTTCCTCAGCTGCAGCCACAGGCCTTCTTGCTGCTCCTGGAATTTACCAAGTATGTCCTTTCTGCAGGGCCTTTGCATAGTCCCCTTCTCTGAATTGCTGTCCCCAGCTTTCTGCCTGACTTCCTCACTCTCTGCAGGACCTTGCTCAGAAGTCACCTTCCCTAATTATTGTTGTTTAAAATATACTACTTAGCCCCCTTTCACCTTGATTTTCCTCCACTTTTCTTTTTAAAAACATGTTCTATATTTTGTGTATAGTGTACTGTCTGTTTTCCTCTCCTCTCTCCATTAGAATATCTGCTCCATAAGAGCTGACATTTTTATCTGTTTAGTTTGCTATGTCCTCAGGTTCTGGAACAATGCCTGGAACAGAGGAGGCGCTTAGTCTGTTGAATACACAGACTAAGAAAATGTGAGAACTAATGTTCCCCATTTGTTCTCCCTTTGCCTCCATCTTTAAATAGTCGCCTATCTGCAGCGTAGCCACAAAACCTTTCCAGATGTAGAGAAACAGAACTGCTTCAAAATCGCTTGCAGACTCAAACCTGTACACCTTTTGCAGACTCCAGACTGGATGTAAATTTTATTTCAGTTCTGTTTCCCATCCACCAACCTTCCCTTTATGGCAAGTATTTTTAAAGTCCAAGTTAAATAGACTTTCAGTCATTTCAGCATATTTCATTATTTCAAAGCAAAGAAGTGTTTTGCCAACAATTTAATTCACCAAATATTTACCAAGCTCTTACCATGTGCTTAATTCCCTATGCTGGATCTCGCAGGAAACAAAGGCAAAAAGCTAAAACTCTGTTCTTAAGTGCCTTAGAATTGAGAAGCCATAGAAGGTAAGTAAAAATAAATAGAACAGAAGGCAGAATGTGGTAACTATTGGCTCTTGTTTTCATAAGAACCCATGCTTTTATGATGAGAGAATCTTAATCCAGCCTCTGAGACTTCTACTGGATTGCCGCCCAACCCAGCCCCCCCCCCTCCATGGGAAGGAAAGGGGGAGGCAAAAAGACAAGCATGCAGAGGGGCCTTGTGCTCTGCTCAGGCCTGGGGGAGCCAGCTCTATCTTGCTCAGCGCTGCAGCAGACATTCAGAATACAGCTTCCAGGCAGGCATTCATGAAGGGGTTGGGGTGGGGGGTCTACTCAGAACCCTGCTCCTCTGAGCAGGGAGAAGGGGGAGAAAAGTTGCACTGGTTAGAGAACTAATGCAATCAGAGGACAGGGGCCCAACCAGCGTGGTTCAGGGAATCCTGTCTCCCTAGTAGTTAAGGTAAGGGAAAGAACCTGACCTTGGGATGGTAAGGGCCTGACCTTGGGATGTTCAGTTCTAAAACTAGATCATCTGTATGTTATGAATTCTTTCAGAAGCAGTTTTAGAGAAAAGAAAAGTAAAATACATTGTGAAAATTAAGGGGGAGGCACGAACATCATTAGATGGGATTCATTGTGAGGAATAGGAACCTGATGCCCATCCAGGGTTCTCTGCAGGTGCAGGGGCCACCTGGGAAGATCCAAGTGTTAGGGGAGGTCAGAAAGGGCACAACAAATTAGGTTGGCAATCTGAAAGGGGGAAGTAATGTCAAGTACAGCCTTTACACACAGGCAAGAGAGGCCCCTGCACGTGGACTTGACCCCACACTTCAGAGAGGCCCTCTCTGATTCTGACCTTTCCAAATCTTCCCCACATCCCAGAATGAGGAGCTCATGAGGCTGCGAGGAGGGCTCAGCCTGTGTCTGTACCACACTCCAGTTATCTAAGACTCTAGAGTTTGCTGCCCTGGTGATTCGGAGCTGCTTTCTTTGGTGCATCCTCCTAACGATGGGCTGTACCGCTGGTGGAGGGCTCTGCCAGACCTGAGAGATGGCCAGGAGCCAGTGTTTATGGGTGGAGCCTGAACCAGAGATCAGGGGTGTCCGAAGGTGAGCACAAGGCTGTTGGCTGGGTTGGATGGAGCAGGATGGGTAGAGAAGGAGGTGGGGCTCGGGCCAGGGGCTGGAGGATGGAAGCCCATTTTCTCTGTTACCTCATTCAGGTTCAGAATTTTATAAACACCAAGACTTGTACATTGGAACTTGGACTGCAGAGTCATATAATGGGATATTTGCCAAGATCAGAGGATAGAACATATTTAATGGTTAGGTACCTTGATTTATTCCTTTCAGATACCTGGCGCTCTGGTATGTGGGTCTCCTCAGTCCTCTTTATGCAGCCATGCAAATGTCAGGGCTGGTCCTGGGAGTATCTTTAGAGATGGTTTTGATGACTGGGAAGGATTTATTTAGGTGAGTTAGGGTGGCGGGAAGTAGTAAGGCAAAGGCATCAGAGAGAGGTATTTCCAGAACACAGAAGGCAGGTACGGGGAGAAAACCATTGTACTACACACCTTCTTTGGCCAGCTCCCTGGCATGCCCTGGGGGGCCTGGACCTTCTCAGCCTGGGCTCTGTTCACCTCTCCAGCATCATCTCTCCCCAAGGCCCACAGCTGCCACTGACCCCACCATGTTACTCTGAAAACACTTTGTCTATCTCAGGCAGACACTGAGCAACTTGGATGAACTGAGGGAAGTTTCAGTGTGAAGTGGCTGAGAGGACCAAAAAGTTTTGCTGTATTTTATCTTATTTTTGACCCTTAGTGATGATCATAGTTCTCATAAGGATATTTGACCAAAAGGAGAAGTAAAGAATGAATAAGAATATGGTTGACAGAGGTGGTTTGGTATAATAGAAAAAAGACTGTGCTTTAAAACTTTTTTCTCAGGAGGCCAGAGTCCTTTTGTAGGTTCTGTCTCTGACTGGCCGTGTGTGTGTGTGTGTGTGTGTGTGTGTGTGTGTGTGTGTGTGTGTGTGCGCGCGCGCACGGGTAGGTGGGGACCCTCATTTGTGCACACAGAGCCAAACAAGAGGTTTGGGCTATCATATCAGGGACAGCCCCCCGGGGGTTCCCAATGAGTGGTTCTGAACCTTTCTCCCTGAAGACCAAAGCAGAACTCTAGTCGCTTACAAGTTTATATTATGTTCAAAATTTCATCCTAAAGTTTCCAAACCTGAGCAAAAGTGGCTAAACTCTTGGGCTGGAGCTCTTAAGTCCTTGCCAGGCCCCAATTCCTGGGGTTCCCTCATTCTGGAAGAGAAAGTAGCAGCTGGGTCCCAGGGAAATGGACACAGCTGGACCTGGAACTGTGATGTGTGGAGTAACCAGACAAGGCCATGGATCTGGATCTGGATCATTTGGGACTCTAATTGTCTTCTCTCTCTACTTCCCTCCAGGCAATCACTCTCTGAGATATTTTCGCCTGGGCATTTCGGATCCTGGCCAAGGGATACCTGAATTTATTTCAGTTGGATATGTGGACCTCCACCCGATCACCACCTATGACAGTGTCTCCCAGAAGAAAGAGCCAATGGCCCCATGGATGGCAGAGAACCTGGCGCCTGATCACTGGGAGCGATACACTCAGCTGCTGCGGGGCTGGCAGCAGGACTTCCTGGTGGAACTGAAGCAACTGCAGAGCCACTACAATCACTCAGGTGACCACTGCTTTCTCTTACCAGCCCCCACCCCAGCAGGCAGCAAGGTCCCCAGAGTGACAATGAATGCAAACAGTTGCTGATTTTCACTCTCTCTGTGGCTTTTGGCAAAGCGTGGGCAGTGTGGTTGACAGGGTTCAGAGCTTGCTATCTGCCCTATGCACCTTCCAAATTGCCCATCTCTCCCCAGGACCCATTTGTCCTCTGCCCCCCACCTCCTTAGTCCATCCCCTTCCAGGCTTCTGACCAGTATTCTACCTTTACCATCTGAATTTGGCCAATCTGTGTCTCATTTCCTGATAGCTATAGAGCTGCGTGCTCATGCATAATAACTATGTGAAGTCTCCCAGCAATGTTTCTTCCTCCTGCATGGTTCTCCCTCCTCCACTGCACTCACAATATCCACAAAGTTGATCAACGAATCATTTCCATTATAGGAATAACTCCTCAAGGCAGGCATTATCATGTTTGCTTGGCATGCAGTTAGTACTCCATAATATCTGTTAGTTGATGGGTTTACATCACTGGAACCACGTGGAGGCTCAGGGATGCTGTGGCAGGCCTGCTGGTGATGTATTTTAGGGGAGAGGATGCTTCTAGCTATGCTCCCAATCACATCGCCTGGGAACCCACTCCCATGTCCCAGTGTAAACACTTCCTGGTCTGCCTGTGTGTTACAGGGATTCACACTTACCAGAGAATGATTGGCTGTGAGCTACTTGAGGATGGAAGCACCAAGGGATTTCTTCAGTATGCCTATGATGGACAGGACTTCATTACCTTCAACAAAGATACCCTCTCCTGGATGGCTTTTAATAACATAGCTCAGATCATTAAGAGAGCATGGGAGGCCAATCGGCATGAGTTACAATATCAAAAGAATTGGTTGGAAAAAGAATGTATTGCCTGGTTAAAGAGATTTCTGGAGTATGGGAAGGAAACCCTACAAAGGACAGGTAAAGAGAAGCAAGACCACCTTGGTCCTGCATCCTCAGAGTGTTGGTTTTATATACAACTGCCTCTAAACTAGGTTATATTCATTCTATTCTAAAATAGATCTTGTTAGTTGGACCATTGTGATCTATAATTCCCCATGAAATATTTCCTCAGTTACTTTTTATTTATCACAAATGGACCAGTCTTAGTTGTCACTGCTGGCATCCCTCTATGATATGAATTTCTGCAGCCCCTTTGAGAGTAAACATGTCATGATCTATTACATATTTTGTTTCTGTTACAGTCACTGTCTTAGTCCATTTCAACAGCTGTGACAAAAATTTCACAGACTGGATAACTCATAAACAAGAGAAGTTTACTCCTCACAGTTCTGGGGCCTGGAAGTCCAGGATCAGGGTACTAGCATGGTTGGATGGGACCCTGTTCTGGGTCACAGACTGCCCACTTCTTGCTGCTTCCTCACATGGCACAGGAATGTAGAGATGTCTCTGAAGCCTCTTTTATAAGCCACTGATTCCATTCATGAGGGTTCTACACTCATGACTTAAGCATCTTCCAAAAGCGCCATTTACTAATAGCATCTCCTTTGGGGGATTGGGATTTCAGTGTATGAATTTGGGTGGTGGAGACACAAATATTCAGACCAATACAATCATCAAAGTGCCAACCCGAATACACAGGCAATTTACACAGCTGAACTGAGATGGTGGCTTTATCAATTTACTCTAGCACAGAATAGAGAAAAAGGAGGTCTGAGTTCTAATCTCTAATCTTTTACTAAATTATCATTTACATATTTTGTAGCTCAGTTTTCTCTTTCTGTGGCTCTTCAGAGTATTTTAAAGTCAACAGTAAGTGACCCTGACATGTTTTTCAAATATACTTGGCCCTTGAACAAGAATTTTAACTGTGTGCATCCAATTATATACAGTTGTTTTCAATACATATTACCAATACATAAGTCATTATACCTGTAATTAATATGAATTTCATTCTCATACTATATTTTATTTTTTTAAAGATTTATTTATTTATTTATTTATACAAGCACTGGGTACAGTCAGGAGCACGGGAGGGTGAGAGAATTCACCAGAGCCAGAGCGGGGAACAGAACAGGCAGACTGATGAAATGCACTGCTGAGGGGAGCAGTGGGCCAGACAGGAGAGGTCTGTCGAGCCATGTGGGACCCTTGCCGGCGGACGGGGATCGAACCGGCACTGCAGAGGCTGCGAGCAGCTTTGCAGCCCAGCGCTCAACCGCTGGGCCACTGGGGAGGCCCTATATTTTCATTTTTGATGTCTAGTGTTGTTAGTAATATGTAGAGCATTGACAGTATTTGGTATCCTATAAGACAATGTTGATGTAGGTAATGCTAGACAATTCATCTTATGAAGAGATGAGGTCAATTCAGGTTATCAATAAATACAGTATTTGTATTACAATACTTGTAAATGTATTTTCCTTCCTTATGCTTTTTTTTAAAAGATATATTTATTTATTTATACAAGAACCGGGGTACAGGCCAGATGCGCGGGAGGGTGAGAGGATCCATCAGAGACAGAGTGGGGAACAGAACAGGCAGACTGACGAAACACACTGCTGAGGGGAGCAGCATGCGTGGCAGGTGAGGTCTGCACGCCATGTAGGACCCTCGCTGGTGGCCGGTGTTCGAACCAGTGCTGCAGAGGCTGTGGGCAGCTTCGCAGCCCAGTGCTCAACCGCTGCACCACCAGGGGAGGCCCCCTTATGATTTTCTTTTTTTTTTTAATTTTTTTTTAAAGATTTATTTATTTATACAAGAACCGGGAGACAGGCCAGATGCGCGGGAGGGTGAGAGGATTCACCAGAGACAGAGTGGGGAACAGAACAGGCAGACTGACGAAACACACTGCTGAGGGGAGCAGTGGGTACGACAGGAGAGGTCTGCTGCGCCATGTGGGACCCTCGCCGGCAGGCGGGGATCCAATCGGCGCTGCAGGCTGCAGACAGCTTCATAGTGTGGCGTTCAACCTTCTGAGCCACCAAGGGAGGGCCCCCTTATGCTTTTCTTAATAACATTTTCTTTTTTTTAGTGTACTTTAGTGTAAGAATACAGTAAATAATACAAATAACAAAATAAGTGTTAATTGACTGATGTTATTGGTAAGGCGTCAGATCAACAGCAGGGTAGTAGTAATTCCGTTTTGGGGTAGACAAAAGTTAAAAGTATAAAGGAGCCCTGAGACCAAGAAAGTGGGAGAACTTGTGATTTTTGGAGTTTTGACCACACAGAGGTAGAATCAGTGCCCCAAACTTTTGAGTTATTCAAAGGTCAACTGTACTCAAAAGTTTTTCTCTTCCTTAGAAAGAGAAATATCTTTTCCCCATTTGTCATTCCCCAGCACATTGTTCTAGTAGGAAGCACACAATATATAAATTTGCTGTTGATGGGGGTTCTGGGCCATTCTTAGTTTTGATATTTCCTGCAGTGAATGAATTAGGAAACATGGTGTCAAGTTCTAATAATATATGCTTGGTAGATAAGCTTTATCTGTTTAACTACGGCTTCTTCTTCCTAGAGTCCCCGCTCGTCAGAATAACTCGCAAAGAAACTTCACTGGGGAATACTACTCTTTTCTGCAGAGCTCATGGCTTTTACCCCCCAGAAATTTCCATGATCTGGATGAAAAATGGGGAAGAAATTGTCCAAGAGGTGGAGTATGGAGATGTTCTTCCCAGCGGGGATGGGACCTATCAGATGTCGATATCAGTTGAGCTGGATCCTCAGAGCGGTCATTATTCCTGCCATGTGGAACACTGCGGCCACCACCTGTTGCTTCAGGCCCACCAGGGTAAGGATGGGGCTTTGTCCACCTGGGGAGTGAAATGAGGAAAGGGGGTGAACAGGAAGCCTGGATCGCTATGTTCTTTAGGAAGAGTCTTTGAAATCAGAAGTTCTGTCACATTTTTGGTCTCAGCACTCCTTTATACTTTTAAAAATTACTGTGAGGCCCCAAAGAGCTTTCATTTCTGTGGGGGTCTGTCTACTGCTTGCTATATTACAAATAAAATTAAAATTTAAAAAAATTTAAAACAAACATATATTGCATTAGACATCAGAGTGATGATGTCATCATGTCATGCAACGTCTAGAAAATTCCACTGTACACACTGTATACTTCACTGAGAAACTGAGATTAAAAAATATAAAAGGGTGGGCCTCCCTAGTGGCACAGGGGTTAAAGACAGTGCTGTCAAGCTATCGCCAGCCACTGCAGCACAAGTTTGATCGCTGGCTGGCTAGGGAGCAACCCACATGGCACAGCAGACCTCTCCTGTCTCACCCGCTGCTCCCCTCAGCAGTGTATTTCAGTAGATCTGCTCCCCATTTCCTCTGGTGAATCCTCTCATTTACCCCACAACTCTGGCCTGTACCCCAGTTCTTGTATGCTTAAATAAATAAATCTTTAAAAAAAATTAAAAAGGGGCCTCTCTGGTGGTCTAGGCCTTAAGTCTCAGCGCTATCACCACTATACCTGAGTTCAATCCCTGGCCACAATGCTATCCCACATGGCACAGCAGACCTGTCATGTCTCACTTTTTGCTTCCCTCAGTAGTGCATTTCAGTATATCCTCTTCTGCTCCCCACTCTGTCTTTGGTGAATCCTCTCATTCCCCCACACCTCTGGCCTACAACTCAATTCTTCTATGCCCCCCCCCAAAAAAAGTCCTTTAAAAAATAAATTAATTAAAAGGGAAATCGTGACTTAGATCTCGGATTCCCTGAAAGGGTGTTGGGGACTCTGGAGCATTCAGCCCATACTTTGGGAACTGCTATTCCTCTGTTTTCAGTTGTTACCTTAAATGGAGCTGTGAACTGAGAGGTGACAGTAGGGAATAGGGTTGGAGTGTCTGATGACCCCAGGGATAAAATCCCCAAAAAGTTAACATGCAAGGAGAGGAGGACTTATGGATTTTTCCTCATTTGCTTGCTCTCAGAATTGGAAACCCTCCCAGTGGTGGTGAAAGCTGTCCTTGGGTTCACTCTTTTGGCCATCATTGCCCTGCTTGGAGTTGGTGTCCTAGTCTGGAGAAGGCAGCGAGGTGAGAGGCATATGGAAGAATCCTGGAGGGCTGCAGACTGTCTCTCCTACAACTCCAGAGACGTTTAGTTTTTGCACCTGCCACTTGAGCTCCATTTAGAAATGTGTTGACCTTCACTTTGGGGTCAGAGAAGGACCTGGAACATCTCTCCCACCATGTAAGCACATGGTTCCCTCAAGAATGATATACTCTGCAAATTTCTGCTTTTTATCTTGTGGAGTTTGTGAATTTGAGTTAAAATTTGTCAAGTGTTAAGAGAAGCTTGACAAAACAGGCTAAAAATGTCAATGCTGGCTTCTTGGATTTTGCTGAATATTGCATAATTTATTTTTGAGTTATGGGGGAAATGCATGTATCTAACTAAAAACTCTTTCCTTTCAGAGAAAAATGGAGTTGTTTACCTTCCTACAACCACGCAATGATTGGAGATAACTCTTTTCCAGTTGTCTTTCCTGTAGGAACGATGGCTTCTTCTATCTTTGTGGACTGAGGTACAGTGATCAGAGCTCTTGACCACATTCGCAACAGACTTGGATATTATAGGATTGAACATTTATGGCAGGAAGACAGGAACCAAGAAATTTTCTCTTGTGGTTTTTTTTTTTTTTTATCTAAAAGGACTGTCAGCTTTCAAGCTCTTTTGATGGACTCCTTTATCACTCTTGGCTCTAAATGTAGCTTGTCTCATGACACAACATTTTCCTATATCTCATTTGTCAACAGTGGTTTATGAGGAGATTGGAGAATCTCAGAACTGGAAGGACTCTTATGATCAGGGCAGGAACTGTCTTCTACAGTGCCTTTGACTTGAGCATCTAGCCTCCAGTTGAACACCACCAGAGAAGGGTTCCTCTCTAAAGCATAGAAACACCTTTCTCATTTATCATTTTTCATGAGAATGTTTATTATACAAGAACTGAGAATATTGTGGGCACCATGACTAAGGCCCTACAGACAGAGTGGAGTTACCCCATGAGAGTAGCCAGCAAGTTTCTACAATGGCCTGATCATTTTCTTAAATTTTTTTGTTTTTTACATCATTGTTCATTTTTAAGCAATATATGCTTCCCCCACCCCCTCAGGTGTAGTCCCCATAGAGTTTCCTTCACCAATGCACCCAGCACCGTCACCTCAGCCCCCTGTGCTCCTCCCTCCCTTCCCTGCAGGATGTCTCTGATTTATAATTGTCTGTTTTTGCTTTGTTGTGTTTTGTATTGTTATTATTTTTTTTTACACTGATGTCTTATTTGACTACCCTATCTTCCTGCTATAAGTGAAACCATCTGATATTTTTCTTTTTCCTTCTGACTTATTTCACTGAACATAATTCCTTCTAGCTCCATCCACATTGCTGCGAATGGCCTGATCATTTTGTACATTTCCTGACCTGAGAGAAAGCAAAAAGGCCCCTGTTCTTATGGAAACTCTAACTGGAAACTTGGAATATTGGAAATATGCCTGGTCAGATCATGGAGGTGGTCTCATTCTTTCTGTCTTTTGTGGGAAAGTAAGCTCAATAATTGTCAGACATCATATCACTTTTAATGAATCTGCAGAGACCTGGAGCCCATAGCAATCTCTAATGTCAAAATGATAGTCGGTTTTTGTCTCAGAAGTGGATTCAAGTCTAATTTCTGTCCTTCTAGAACTGGAAGCCTTGTATAGTACATCCAGTCAGCTAAAATTATCTGAAAGGTTTTGCATAATCCTATCACAGAGTTTATTTATGGCAATCTATTTTTAAAAAATTTATGTCATATTACATAGTCTGTTTTCATGATGCCTTCTATGTAGTAAGAACTCAGTAAATACTTCTTGAATGAACCAGTACAGTATTTTAATTAGCTAGTCCTCATGTACCAGAGCAAAGGAACAGTGTCATCTTACAGTGAAGTCATAGAGGGGAAATAACTCACTCAGGATCGTATGACATTCCAGGGGCCCAGGATGAACATTCCAAGGACTTGTCTGAATTCTTCAAGGGTATCAGCAGCATTAACATTCTTTGTTTAATACTTTGTCATTGCCTTGTCTGTGAGATTAGGGATCATAAACATTCTAACCACACTTGCCCTACCAAAACATTTAACAGGGAAAAGGATAGAATTCAAAGGTTCTTACATGAGGCACCATTTTTGTGAAGGCCGTCTTGGGGACTCAACTATCTGATACCTAACGTATTAATTTTTTATTCATAGAGCCAGTAGAACTGTTATATGGTCTGGATTTTTTTTTTCTATCATCATTTGAGTATTTTGTTAGTGAATGTTCTTAAAATACAAATTCCATCACTTCTTATCCATGACCTTAACCTAGGAAGCATATGAAACCATTTCTTCTAAACGGTTTTACCTCTCCCTCTCCTTTCTTCCTTTCAGTGTTAGCTGAGTCTAGTAGGAAAGCTGGCATTTGCACCTTGGTGGGGGTGGGGTGTGAGAGAATGTTTGGGACCAGAAGGTTCTGAGTCTGTTGGAGCTGGACAGTTGGAGCTGAGCAACTGAGTGGCAGCTGGAGGCCGGGTTGGCCTGGAGCCCTGGCAAGCGGAGCAGGGCTCTGAGGCAAGCACCTTGGCCACAGCAAAACAGGGGCCAGAGGGTGGGAACAACCAAGGAGAAAAACAGCTTCGAGAAAAGAGCTTCTCTTCTGGAACATAAATTCAGGGAACAGGAGGCTACAGGACGAAATGGGAACCCACCAGAATGGAAAAGGAAGTGAAACCAAGGGAAAAATAAGACATTTCAACCCAAGCTAACGCTGTCTCTGCTTTTTTTTTAAATTTCCTTTTGGGGTATCAGTGTGGATATCCCAAGGTGGATGTGTCACCCTAACTGGGTTAAAGCACTATTTTTTTTTTTCTGAGCGACAAGATAGTAGTATAAATAGAGAATTCTGGGAACGCATTGAGGAGACACTATCTCTTAAAGGTGGGTGACAATTCTGGGGAAATTTGAGGAGTGCAGTGATAAAAAGTAAAATATTTGGAGTCCTGTCAACTGCTAAAACACAGCCCCTTGTTATACCTCAGAAGGTCTAGAAGCATGTACTCTGCATGTTATTCACAATACATCTACAAATATATTATCTGTGCATACAACAGGAAGTTGCCAAACCAGATGTAACCCCAAGGCTGAGTACTTGGGCTGGCTTCCATCTTTCCTTTAAAATACTGTATTGGGGCCTCCCCGGTGGCGCAGCGGTTGAGCGCTGGGTTGCGAAGCTGCCCGCGGCCTCTGCGGCGCCGGTTCGATCCCCGGCTGCTCCCCGGCCACCGGAGGAGGGTCCCACATGGCGCGCAGACCTCTCCTGCCGCCCGCTGCTCCCCTCAGCAGTGTACTTCGGTCCTTCTGCCTGCTCTGCTCCCCGCTCTGGCTCTGGTGAGTCCTCTCACCCTCCCGCGCTTCTGACTGTACCCAGTGCATGTATAAACCAAAAACAAACAAATAAATAAATAAATAAAACATGCCTCTATTAAAAAAAAAAAAAAAAAAATAAATAAATAAAATACTGTATTGAGCACTGGGCTGCGGAGCTGCCCACAGCCTCTGCAGCGCCGTCGTTCCCCAGCCGCCGGCGAGGGTCCCACAAAAAAAAATAAAATAAAATACTGTATTTGTCATTGATTCCTGAGGAGCCAGAAGGTTTGAAGAGGAAAAAGGCAAGCTATTTTAATCCAATTTAGACCTTTGCAACTGAAACTGAGATCCAATTTCAAAGATTTGTAAAGACACCCAGCCTCATGGACTTGAAACCAGTCTATAAGGTGATGTGTTTATGGGTCCAACGATGAAATTTGTAAGGCTTGTTTCCTGCCACAAGGAATTAGTGGTTCTTTGTGGCATTGTATACCCTTTTTTAATTAATGCCAGAGTTTATTTACTCCAATTTCTTACTAATAACCTGCCACAGTATATTGATACTCATTGATTCACAGACTGCATACTCCCTGAGACCTGAGAATCCAATGTCTGCCCCATAGTGGGCACTCAATACATCTGCACATTGACTAGACAAATTTCTATAACACCTACTATGAGCCACACTGTATAGTCATTAGAGCCCAGTGACATTTTGAAAACTAACAAATTCAAAAATGGCTCAGACATATGCTTACAAGCAAATCAAGCTTAGATCGCAAAAAAAGTACTTAAGAGATGTTAATCTAGAACATATTTCTACAAAATAGATACTGAGTTTTATAAGAAAAAATATAAATCTGACAGTGGCCTATGTGGTAATGCTATAAAACAGAAATAGATGGATAAAACTACAGTGAGATGGGCGGGCCTACATAAAAACATTCCATTAATGAAAGGAAGACAGAGAGAAGGGAGGGTTGGAAGAGCCAAGCACCTTCTTCTGGCTGCAGCAGCTGGGCTGGGCTACCAGGACCAAGGGCCAGTTGCAATGGTGACATCTAGGAACTCAGATGTCCAGTGAAAGTAAGTTCTAATCCTCTGGTTTCCTTTGCCTTCCCCAACTGGACAACCCTCTCTAATCCCCTCTCAATCAACTCTCTCTAAACCCCTAAGTGCTTTTTGGCTTTGCCATGCAGCTGACACTTTGCTACTCTGTGTTGGCATTTATCTGTTCCTGCACAGCTTATCTCTCCTGCTAGACCATAACCCCTTTAAGGACAGGATTTGAATACCATCAGGGTTACGGTAAGTTATTTGGCTTCTCTGAGCCTCAGTTTTAGAAAAAGGGGGTTATAACTACCTGGTTCCCTGAGCTCATGTGGGAATTATATGAGATGTGTGTGCACAGATGTGTGTGTGAAAGCGCATCACACAGGGGAAGGCACATGCTACATTTCTTCTCCAGATTTTCTCCAGGATGACTCCCTGTGTCCCACATAAACACAGCTACTATTTATTGATGCTCATTGTGAATAGTTCACATGTATTATCTTATACCTCATAACAACTTCAGCAGCAGGTCTTATTATTCCTATTTCACTGAAACCCAGAGACGTTATATATCTTGACAAGGTCACAGTTAATAAGTGGTAGAGGCATAATCCAATTCCAAGTCCCTGTCCACACACAATTTGTGTTTTTTCCAGTACACTCTCCTGTCTGCACACAGTAGGCACATATTTGATGTCTGATGAAAACTGTAAGGTATCAGCTACTCAGAACTATGTTCTATAGAAAACTTTGGGAACAAAAGAATAAATACAAATTTTCAATGAATCAGAAAAGAAAATCCTTTATAAATTTGTGAAAGTCTGAATCTTTTGCTTAGCCTTTGATGATGGGAGTTTAAAATGCTGCATTAAGACCAGTCAGGCCAAATGAAGCACAGAGGGGATTGTCATACATTCACGGAATCATCGTCCATGAAGCCTATGAAAAGATTCATTACTTGTCAGTTCTTGGCAGATGGGAATAGCCAACCAAGATACCCAAAGAGAAATTAAAGGCTCCTCACCTTGCAGAAAACTCCCTAAGTCAGTGGTATACAGGATTTCAGAGCTGGAAGATTGTTTGTGGGTCCTATATCAGCTAAATTCTCTCATTGTACAGATGAGAAAAGTGAAGCATAGATAAAATTATGTGCCAAAGAAATCCTGAAGCCAATTATAGAACTTCGTTTTTACATGCATGTGGACAACATCATTACTCATTAGGAAATGGAAATTAAGGCTGCAATGAGGTATCTCTGTATACCTATAATAGCAGCTAAAATAAAAAGTAGTGACAATACAAAATACAAGGATGTGGAGAAGTTGGATCACTCATTGTTGGTGGGAACGTAAAATGGCATAGGCACTCTGGAAAACAGTTTGGTCGTTGTCTTAAAAATTAAATATATATACTTACATAGCAATTACACTCCTGGGAATCTACCCCAGAGAAATGAAACCTTAGGTCCGCATAAAAATCTGCACACAGTTCATACTAGCTTTATCTGTAATAGTCTGACAGTGGAAACAACGCCACTGTCCCACCATAAATGGTTAAGCAATGGAATATGTAGTCCATGGAGTACTACACAGCAATAAAAACATGCAACAGTTTAGATGACTCTCAAGGGCATTATGCAGAGTGAAAAATCTCAAAAGATCACACACTTAATTCCATTTCTATGACATCTCAAAATGACATACAGCTGGAAAACAGATTAGTGGTTTCTAGGGTTAGGGATGTCTGGAGAATTGCGGGGCAGGAAGTGAGACAAATGTGACAATAAGGGTCAGCATGAGAAGAGAACACTTTATTATGATGGAATAGTCCTGTATATTGATTACATGAATCTATACATGGGATAAAATGACATAGAACCATATATATGTAGTAAAGTAGTATCAGTTTCAATATAGTACCATATTTATATGAGACATATCCCTGGAGGAAACTTGATGAAATGTAAATGGGACATCTCTACTAATTGTGAACTTTTTGTGAATCTCTATTTAAAAATAAGTTGTTTTCCATTGAAGGTCACTATGATACTAGGAATGATCTGCTTAAATATATGCATGAAACTAGTTCCACATAGAGAATGGTGTAAGGGCAGGAATGGACACGGTGCAGGTTTTCTGGTCCAGCAGACCGGGTAAAGGAGGAGTCAGCGTCCTCAGTGGTTTTTTGCAGGTCTTTTATTGGGATTTACCCAGTACACAGCAGGCAGTATCTCTCTCTTTCTCTCTCTCTCTCTCTCTCTCTCTCTCTCTCTCTCTCTCTCTCTCTCTCACTCCTGATACCTTTTACCTACCCTGCAAATGGCCAAATAATAGATTTGTCTTCTTAAAATGACCTTTGCCTATTATTATAGTGTAGTGGCAGGAAGGCCAGACAAGACAGGTAAAGGACAGTCCTGGAGCCCTCTGTGTCTTTCTAAGGCTTTTATTGAGCTTTTACATATACTGCAGCAACCAGGTACATGGAAGGCAGGGGGAGGAGGGAGTGGCCCAGGAGGCCAATAGGCCTCCAAGCCCCCAGCAAGTCTTCACTCTGGCCTTCTCTCTCTCTCTGGCTTTCTTTTTCCCCTTCTCTGTCCTGTTCTTTCTCCTGCCTCTGCTTCTCTTGGCCAGTCTCTCAGTACAGAGCCAGGGCCCACAGAAGTAAACAACAGAGTTTATAACAATGTTTATAACTGCAGGTGCCCCATCATGCAGGGCAATCCTAATGGAGAGAGGGCAGAAAAGCCTGAAAAACATTTACCCTATCTACAGTTACCAAAAAATTCTTTAAAAAAAAAAATTCCTGCTTACATGCAACCAGCAGATTATAAATTAAGATAATCTGGGTGGCCTGTTAATGGAATAATCTGAAGACTGTCCTAATTGGAATTTGGTACTCTCACATTATATATCAAAAGTAATTTGTTTGGGAGTACTGGAGGCATTTCCACTAGTTTCAAATCCCATAGAAGATGAAAGTGCAAAGAATTTGGTGCCTGGGTCTTGCTGCCATCTTTCACAATTTGAAGATGCTCCAACCTTAGGTGAGTATCCTCTGCCTATGTGACTGAAATCTTCCTCACTTATGAGCAGCTCAAGATGATTGGAACTTCAAGTCTCTTTTTGCAGGAGAGTTACCACTTAAGAGTGATCACACTCTGACTATTCTGATTGTTGTGGTCTCAATCTGATTTCCTCCAGCAATTCTTTCCTGGTCATTCACGGCAGCACCTGGATTCTACAGGTAAATGGATCTGTTTGGTGGCTCTTAGTCACCTAAGGAGTGTGACTAATGCTTTCCATTGTGTCTACACTGGTCAATCTAATGAATAAGCTTCTGTTAATGGCATTTTTCCGTGGGGTAGTTCCTTGTAGAATTTATCCACATATTTGGCTAGGTACAATGGCCAAAACCTCCTTGGCGAAATGTAACTCTGGTCAGTTTTGTCCAAAACAGCCACCCATACCCTCTTTACTCCTTCACACTTTCTACCCTTTTTGCCTCCAACTTCACAAAGCAAGTGGAGAAGCGCCAAAGGTCCTTGGCTCTGAAGCCTCAGAGGGTCCTGCTTGCATTCTCCCCTTCCCGTATGGTAGAGGCATTCTACTTTTGTTCTGGACTGCTCCTCCACTTTAGGCTCTAGATCCCATCCTTTACAGACTCCTGCAGGATCTTTCTCTGTCTCTCCCAGTCCTCTTTCCTTGGAGGAAGATGCCTTGCCCATTACCAGATCTCTCTCAACTTTGAAAAACCCTCCCAAGTGCCTGGATTTCTCTCTCAACTTCAGAGCCTTG